GTTTAAGCGATTTCTCCTCCTGCATTTGGGTCCATACTACTGACATGATCATTATAGATATTAGATAACATGGTGGGAGTATATGACACAAGACACTTGTTTTGTTTGTGTTCTTAAAATGTTTCCCACACCTATTGGTCGTATGGTGATCATATGCTATTCCCTGCAAAGTTTTAAGTTACTTTTAGGTGGTCATACTATAATCAAGCTACTGTTAATCCATGACGATGTTTAGTGTGTGAGCACTAAGCAAGAGTGCTCACACACTAAACAGCAAAAAAGTCCAAAAAAAGGTTATGAATTTAGTTAAACTACCCACAAGCTGCTGCAAACAGCAAGTGCTCTGCTGGATGGCGAGGAACAAAAGACATGGATGGGGCAGTGTCTTTTGAAGGGAGAGAAAGGCATAGAAAATACATAATGCACAGATAGATGGCATTTATATATATATATATAAAAATAATAACAAAAACAAATAGTGTCTCTCTGCACAGTTTAGTCCTGGCATTGCTCTGACAAGCGCTCTTTGGACTAGGTGAGAATGTGAGACTGACCTCTGGTGGCTGAACTGACAACAACAGAATTTAAGATTTTTGCCATTTGAAAAGCATCTTTATACAGCTCCCCCAGCCAGAGTATGCAATCAAGAGTCCAGAATTCATGGACAACCTCCCCCTTGCTCCCTTCCAGCCACCCACCCACCCAAATGCAGTCAGAGGTTGATAAAATGAGCAGAAGTTGAGAGATTTTTTAAAAAAAATCAGCCTTGATGTTGATCTCTAAAGCAGAGGAGTGAAGTGATAAGAGGACAATGGACAGAGCTGGATCACACACTCGCAAAGGAAATGACTGTGTCTTTTTTTGTACTTGTTCCTGGGTTTTTGAGAAGTCTACATTATGTCGGCATGTCGGGTTGTGGCCATCTTTCACCATTTCAACCCCATTAGACTCTGTTTCTACAGGTGAAATCGCCTTTCTGTCAGCTAACTCTTTGCTCTGTCTGCCTGCTCATCATGTTGCCTGAATCTCTGGCTCCATGCATGCAGCCAAGCAGAACCCACAGCCTTATGAGACCCTATGCTGAGGCTCAGCAGAGGGGTTACTGTATATGCACAGCATAGAAGTGTAAAGTGAGTCAGCATGGAGAGGCAGAGCCCGCACACTAGAAGTCTGGACACACACCTTTCATCATCAGGGATTCTAAGGTAAGGCATTTAAGGCAAATGCTCATTGGCCATAAAGTTGGTAATTACTCCCGGGTACACATACATCACGGCTGATAGGGACATATGAGGACAGGGTGTAAACAAATAACAGGGAATTCCTATCACTGCTTCTGGTATTTGATATCATCTGTTTTTATGTTTCCACCCCAGCTAGTTTTAGTCTTTCTTTTAGATATTTGACTGTTTTTATTTGGTTTTATCTATAGCTTATGCATTTTTATTATTTAGTTCCAGTGTACAGCACTTTGTGTCAGCTGTGGTTGTTTTAAAGTTCTCTATAAATAAAGATGAAATTGTATGGTATGTTGCTTTAAGCTGTGAATACTAATCACACTGTGTAACTTTGTTGAGAAGAATTTAATAGTTTTCTTTCCAGTGGTCAGCAGCTCTGGCCACTAAAAGATGTCAAAAAAAACAAAACAGGGAAAAAATGAAAAATGAGGATGAAAACAGTGTCAGTAAATGACTTCAAAATAAGGCAGAACTGTGCTCTTAGCGTAGCTTTTATTACATTACAATTTGGGTAAAAACATTTAGGAGGCAGGAGGGTAGCCTATTGAGATTTACTCCCTGAACAGATTTTTCACCTGCTTTTGGCACTTAGCAGTGTTCATTCTGGATTTTGTAGACTGAATACTTTTGAACCAAATGGACATGTAGACCTAAAAGCACGGTGGTGGACTGACAGGTGTACAAGCAGATTAGACGGCAGGCAGGCAGATGAATATCAAACAGTCTGACATGGTTGATTCTGCCAGGGACACTGAATTATAATCACTGCACAGCTGGCCAAAACGAAAACGGTAATAATACTCTGCTAAGGTTATCCTAACAATATGCAGTCTAATTTTTCATCTGTGGTTGTGTTGCGGTGATAAACTGCTGTACAAGCAACAGCAAATAAGATCACAGCACAAGCTGGCAAAAATCATGCTGCACTAAATCTACAAATTAGATTTGGGCTCGTTAGCAAAACTCAACAAATATCCCAGGCTCTCTTTAAACTAGGAGGGTGAATAAAGCAAGACAAAAAAAGCAATGAAAGAATTTTCCTGTATTTTCAGTAAATAAGAGAACAGTATATACCAGAGTAATTACAAACCAACTTGTAACACATGATTTGCTTTACTGGATTGAGCAGATATATTGTAATGTGAGCTATTTAAATCTGTAGATGTCTTTCTCTCAGAAAATGAGTAATGATAGGTGACAGAGCGAGACCTCAGAGAGTGTTTTCTTTCTCAGATGAGTGATGATAAACAGAATGATTCTGTCAGCAATCTAAGACAGATAACTTTCCTCCAAATATCCGACAATGACAGTGAAACATCCGCTGCCACTTTGATCGCAGCTGATAGGAAAGGATGGGTGAGCAGAGACACGGAGAAGCTAAAATGAAGAAAAAAAGGCAGAATAACTAAGATTGAGACTGATTTGTTGAAGCATCCAGTTGCTTTATAAGCAGATTTATACTGCAAAACAAATGATTTGTATGAAAGTGAATTAACAGGGGTGGCTGATACTGAAAAAGTGAAGTGAAAACATATTTTAAAAATTGTATGGGTGGTTTATGGCACCAGATGGTTAGTACAAGTTGTTCAGCTAAATGGTGCATTTCCATATTTAAAATGAATGACCCTGATAATACCATGAATGCAGCACTTAAGGAAGTGAAGTGCATTCAAAAAGCAGAATTTCAACTGCATGATTTTTAATTATGGAACATCAGAGTTCATCCTGGTTAGTTTGTGTGTGCAGAATGAGGACTAATAGCAAGAGGGTGCAAGAGGATATGTACATACTGTACATATTTAAAAAAGGGTTCATTTCTAAATGATTACAACTCATTCAGATGGTGTAAGTACTATACTTCTCTTGGTCTTGTTCAGTAGACGCCACATATCACAATCATCGGGATGACTGCTGATTTGATACCTGTCCAGATGATGATGATGATCATCGACACCCTCCGTGTGAGGGTAATTGCTGAAAAAAGGCTGGCTGTTCAGAGAGTGCCCAGTCGAAGAATATTAATGTTGAAAAAAAAAAAGCCTATAATCTGGAGAGCTTCATGGGGATGGATGAGGCTGGTGTCAGTGCAACAAGAGCCACCATACACAGACATCTTCAGGAGAGGGGCAACAACTGTTGCATTCATATCAAGCCAGTCCTGAATGAGAGCCTGAGCCAGAAATGTCTGTCGATTAAGGATGAAAACAACTGAATTGCTGGCGAAGTCCTCTATTCAGATGAAAGTCAATTTTGCATTTCATTCAGAAATCAAGGTCCTAAAGTCTGGTGATTAGAGAGGCACAGAATCCAATGTGTTTTAAGTTTAGAGTGAATTTTCCACAGTCTGTGATGATTTGCGATGCCTGTCATCTGCCGGTGCTAGTGGTGGTTGGTCCGCTGTGTTTTAAGTCCAAAGACAATGCAGCTACCAGGAGATTTTAGAGCATTTCATCCTTCAAGCTGTATGGAGATGCACGTTAACGTTTTCAGCGGGACTTAGGTTTGGCACACTGGGCAGGTGCTATTTCCACATGGTTTCCTGACCATATTATTACTATGCTTGTTTGGCTAACTATCTCACCTGACCGGCATCACATAGATAATCTGTTGGGCACTATTAAGAGGAAGATGAGAAACAGCTGAATTACAAATACAGAGAAGCTGGAAACAAGTATCAAAGCAGCCTGGACATCAGTAACAGTGCCACAAGCTGATCACCTCCATGCCATGCTGCATTAATGCAAGAACTCTTAGTAAAGAAGCCCTAACAGAGCATTGACTGTATACAGAAGTTGGATATTCTTGTACTGTAAATTCAGTTTTAATTAATCATAGTAAATATTCTAATAATCTGAGATACTGGATTTATGATTTACAGGAAGCTATAAGCCATAATCATCAAAATGAAAACAAAAAAGCTTAAAATATTTTACTTTGCATGAAGAATATAGTATAAAGAACAAGGATAAAGACAGAACACTGTCTACTTTCTGGTTATTAGAGCCCACTGCGTCTTGCCTGGCACAAATATGGAGCAGGCTCTCCTCGCTGCTTTTGTTGCTTTGATATGCTCAAATCTTAGTAGTAGGTCGAAATGCTTGGCCTCATAATTAACCAGTTGCCGTATCATTTTCCTTCCAGACAGTACTGGCCTTGAAATGATATCAATATTGATGCAATTCCCAGAGCTCAGATTGAATCTGACATTGATATCTCTTACTGTGATGTCAGTTTCATTTCATTTTTCTTTTGGTCACGGTAGCAGAGTGGTTTGCTCAGTAAACACAAAATGGTGATAGGGAAATGACTGGTGTCATATCCACAATGTTGTTAAAGCTATGAAATCAAATCACAGTTCACCAGTGTCTTGAGATTTTAGTAACAGTGTATCCAATTCACTTTCTCAATATTATATTTAACCAAATAGACCGATTGCCTGAGGGTAGATTAAAGTTCGATCTCTGCTTCTGATAAGACGCCACAGATTTAATGAACGACCTCAGTCAAAAGGGCATGTCTTATACTGTCCTTGGGGTGCTTTAACTTTAATACTTTAACAGATTTGTTTTTTCCCTTTTGCCATCTTATGTAAAATGATCAGTGCGGGGTTGTGTTTTAAAATGCTGCACCATATTTCTGAAAAGTTTTGGAGAAGTGAAAGGGACAAAGTTTCAGAAATGGAGAGAGATGGTCAGACCACACATAGTCACACACATTCTCCCAGCATATACTACTCCACTCCGACAGCCAGGTATAACTCACGTGGTGAAGGCAGGGTTGTACTTTGCTCCGAGGTAATATGAGTACAGGTTGAACATGCCGATCATGAAGGCCACAAACACCATGATGAAAATGACCATAAACTTGAAGATGTCCTTGACTGTGCGCCCCAGTGAAATCTGCAGGGGTCCAAAGCTCTCATTGGCTGGCAGTATGTAGGCGATGCGAGAGAAGCTCAGAACGACGGCGATGGCGTACAGGCCTTCTGAGATGATCTGAGGATCTGATGGGCGCCACTTGTTTCTGGCTGAAGGGAGAATAAGCCACAGAATGGTTGCTTTGTAATATTATAATTTTATTAGCAAATCAGACATTAAAAGGGATCTTTGGCCATTTTTTTTCACCTAATTAACTACACTAAATAAAATCTGATATGTTAAACAAACTCTGTAATTAGTGCTGAAATGATATTCATATTCGGTTCGAGCCCCGGCTTGGACAGTCTTGGTCGTTGTGTCCTTGGGCAAGACACTTCACCCGTTGCCTACTGGTGGTGGTCAGAGGGCCCGGTGGTGCCAGTGTCCGGCAGCCTCGCCTCTGTCAGTGTGCCCCAGTGTGGCTGTGGCTACAATGTAGCTTGCCATCACCAGTGTGTGAATGTGTGTGCGAATGGGTGGATGACTGGATATGTAAAGCGCTTTGGGGTCCTTAGGGACTGGTAAAGTGCTATATAAATACAGGCCATTTACCATATTTTAATTCAGAAGCCAGCTTGGAGGGATTCAAGATTTAAATATCTGCTAATAACTGTTTCAAACTGTTGCTGATGCTGAATATGTACTAGCACTTTATAAACCAAATATTAAACGTTACATAAGAAGGGGTTAAAGCGGTGTTACCTTAAACTCTACTGTGCACATGCAGTTTGTCACTCATCGTCCCATTGCTTGCTATTCAAAGTCTTTCTGGTTACAACGCACTGAGTAAACCTCTGGTTGTAGTGCGATCCAAATGTTTGTAAGATATGTTTCTATGAAGAATAATCTCAGCTTTAAGAAGCACGGATTTCGACGAAGGAGACGGTGCAGTAAGAAGATGGATTAAGTGAGGAATGGAAAAACGAAAGTCAGAGTAAAAGTTTGAAGAGAAGAGCGAGTGGAGCAAGAGGAGGGAAAGAAATTAGTCTGAGCTGTGTGGACGGCAAAGGGAAGGGATAAAGGGATAGTGTGTCCAAGGAGAAGTAAGGACAGCTAGAGAGAGGGAGATCAGGAAATAACTGAGATATCAAAGGAGACTGATGTGGCTAGGTGGCAATGTAAGATACAAGAGAGATGAGTCAAATAAAAGAAAAAGAGCTTCCATTTCACTATTTTATCAAAATCATAGTTTATTAGTATAACATTTTCACACCTTTACAGATATTGGGACATTTAGGGGAAGGTTTATGAGGATTATATGTGAGAGTGCAGTAATAGAACCTTTATCGATTTATTGATATGTCATGACAGAGTCAGGCCACCAGATGACAGCACTGATGAAGGTTCTATTAGTGGACCGCTAAGTGCACAGTGCAGTGGGCTGCAGCCTGTGGCAGGGTTTGCTATGGTGGAGGCATGTTTTTGTTCTGGTGTTTAACGAATGCATGCTTATCATTCAGGGATTAAAGATAATGTTGATTTTTTTGTCATTCTTTTTTTACTCATTCTGGTCATCTGACTGCAGTAGCATGTGTGTAGCAGCAAATCAACCATTGCAGGGATTGTTTTATTACTGTGAAGATCTCCAGGTGACAACCCCAATTCTGAAGGAGTAGTGATGCTGCATAAAACGTAATTAAAAAGAGAACTAACCCAGATTTTATTCACAACGGAACAAACAAAACATATCAAATTTTAGAGAGAGAAAATGCAGTGTTTTAGAAAAAATATTAGCTCATTTTGAATTTGATGCCAACAAACATGGCTCAAAAAAGCTGAGACAGGATGATGTTTACCACCAGATGTTTACTTATTAAAAGAAGAGTGGATGCAACCACTCTTCTTTTAACAAGTAAACATCTGGTAACTGAAAAGACCAGTTTTCTGTTCCATGATGTGCCAAGTTTTTTCAGTTCCTGAAAGGTCTGTACTACAGAGGGTCGAGTTTAGCATCTGGATTCGTCTACTATGAAGTTGTAATAGCTTTAATATTCTCTCTCATAAATATGTAAAGCCTTCCCTGAAAAAAGATGTCATCTGGGTGGCAGCATATGTTGATTTAAAACCTGTATATACCTTTTAGGACTGATGGTGCCTTTCCAGATGTGCAGGTTGCCAGTACCACAACTAAAGCAACCTCATACCATCAGAGATGTTCATTTTAAGTTCACTTTGGTCCAGACATGATGGCACATTTATTCACATATTGTTTCTTCTTTGCATGACAGACCTTTAACCTGTATTGTAGTTGGCTATTGAGCTCACGCATGTCATGATTTCCATGGCAGAATCACACCTTGTTTGAATGCAGTGCTGCCTGAGGGGCTGAAGATCACAGGCATTCCAATATTGATTTTCAGCCTCATCTCTGATTTTTCCAGATTCTCTGACTCCTTTGATTAGATATTCGACATCTTCACAATTTTCCACAGGGGAGCATTATTCTGATATTGTTCTACAATTTGTAGATGCGTTTGTTTTTTTTTTTGCAAATTGGTGAACCTCTGCTCATCTTCTGAGAAACTCTGCCTTTCTAAGATGCTCTGTTTATACCCACTCATGTTGCTGACCTGTCGCCAGTTACCCTAATTAGATGCAAAATGCTCCTCAAGCTGTTTCTTTTTACAACCACTTCCCTTTTCAGCCTTTTTGTTACCCCCTGTCAAATCTTCTTTTGATTGGTGCCATCAAATTCAAAATGAGCCAATATATTTTGGAAAACGGTTGCGGATCTAAAGAAATACATTTTCAGCTTCAAGTATCATGTGCAGTCCGGGTTTCTGTAATTAATGGCGTTTTTGCACTCATCTAATTTGCTATTCCTTATCAGTGACTGATGTAGCCCAACACTGATTCAAGCACCTCTATATAATATTGATAACAATATCTATAATATAAATGTAGCTTATATTTAACTTACATGATTCTTTTTATTGACTACTCACCGTAAGTGAAATAAGCCACTTCATCAGGCAGTGAGGCGTTGCTGAGGTCGTCATCTGGTACATGCATGTCGACATATTGCTGGGCCTTGGATGCCTTCAGGAATGCCATGAAGCGTGCCGTGAAGGATGCCACGAAGATGGATAACATACCAAAGTCCAGAACATTCCAAAGGTGCATGACATACTCCCTGGGTCCGTCACTCCAGATCTCCTTGCACTCTGACCAAATCATGCCTGAACATAAAAGACACATATAGACAAAAATAACACAAAAATAAGGAGGCCGTTGCCAGCACTTATATAGGGATGCATAAATGAAGCACGTACAAACAGATGTCGACAACAAAGCTTGTAATTGAAAATGAACCACTCAGACGTGTGGCACTTACAGATCAGGTGGATGCAAACACATACACACTCCATTCTCTATTTGGAGCCAAAACACAGTTAAAATTGCCTAGAGAGAAGGCGCCCTGATCAGTATCATCTCTCTAACAATTACTGGGCCTTCAAAGCATGCTACCGGAATTACAATTACCACATCTAACTAAGCCACCACTCAATGCACACACATACACTCACAGATTCATGTAGATAAACAGTCACATGTGCAGCGGCTGCTAAAAATTTACTGTAGATGGGGAAAAAAATGTTGCCATTACATATAAACAAATAAAAACAGAGGCACATGTGCACCAACATACACAGACCACACACATAATATTGTTAGAGTGTGTGCATGAGCGGAAGCAGATGGGAAACAGCTGAGCTCTGACAGATACTGCTGTGGGCTATTTATCCACCAAGTTTGTCTTTGTCTGCCTGTCTGTCACCCTCTTCTATCTCCTTCGATTCCTCACGCCTGCCTTCCTGTATTCCACGCACACACCCTACTCTGCTTTCTTTTGTCGCCCTCAACTACTCCCAACTTTCCTTCCATTTTTCTTTCATTCCGTTCCTCCCTCTTATATTTCCTCTGCACAGCCTCCCAGGTCAACCTCCCAATTTCCCTCCAGGTTATCGTTAGGACTCAGCGGGGCTACTGTCTGCGCTGTACCAACCAGAAAATTTCTTTTTGATCTTCGGAGGATAAAAGAGCATGATTTGTTGTGTTGCTGTAACCTTGGCTTTCATTCACTTGCCTGGTAGGGCACTCTATTAAACTTGAATTACACCTCATATCAAAGGTGGGCAAAAAGTTTTCTGACTATTTCCAGACTGTTTACTGATTTATGGTGAAGGTGTATGTAGAAAAAAACTTGAAAAGAAACTTTGGATTAGCATAGAAAAATGTGCAAACCTAGGACAAAGTATATTCATGGTTAATAACATAATAAAGTGCACGCATTGCAAAAAAAGAACACGCTCAGCTGTGCCTTGCTTACTTGGCACATCAAGGTTATTTTTTATCACGTTGGACAATCTGCTTTGACAGGGACAATCTATTCTAATCTAATCAACTGATGTGCATTTTAATTGGCTGTAACTGTGCACAGCCACACTGTGTGTGTGTGTATGATTTGATTGAAAGGGTGACTTACCCAATACCCACTTCATTATCAACATCTCTGTCCAGGAAAACTGGGTGGTTTTGACCCTGAACACCTGTCGAGGATGGTCTGTGATGGTCTCGTTGGGAAGGTTCTTTACTCCTTCAAAGCGGTCGGAAGCATTGACAACCAGGAGACCCAGGAAGATGGTGAAGGAGACAGCGTGAGCCACAAACTTCATGAAGGGGCTTCGCAGGATCTGACCAAGCTGGAAGTGAAAAAATTTAGGAACTTCCAATGTGTTTACTATTCCAATGCGTCAAATATTAAGAATCAATTATGGTAATATAGATATAGATTAACAATATCAATTTAAATTTGCATTTACTGATCAGAAAACAAATTGTAAAAAACAAAAACAGCGGGGTATTGACACATTAAGCAAAATTTCACTGTCTATCTGTGATTACAATAGCCAACAAATTCTGTTTTACAATAAAGAAACATGTTTGAGTGCTTTTTGGACGGACAATATTGCAGCCAAGCTCAACATCTGCTTTTATTTACTGAGATGAATCATGCTTTCTGCAGAGTTCCTGAGACTTTGGTCCTCAGAGAGAGCAAAAAATGCTGCAAAGCACCACTACACCACCATTTTAGCAGACAAACAGCAGCTGTTGTAATTCATGAATGTGCGTAACCACTGATCACTCTCACACACACATTATGCCAGAGTAACTAGATGCCAAACCATTAGCAGAGCCTGTGGAAATGCACTGCATCAAGCAAAAGTAATGCAAGACGGTACAGCACAAATAGCATTTAACAAGCCACCACACAGAGGGGCATTTTTGTAATTGCACATAAGTGTGCCAAGTCACACAAATGCACTTACACACTTAGACACACGCACACTTCTAACCCCATACGGGCATTTGAGATCCCAACATTTGCTACTCTCTGAACCTGCTGTGTTCAATATTAACTACCCACAGGATATCTCTACTCTCTGCATGAACAATAATACATCAGATTCAGTAGCTCTTCCCATGCCACACACACACTGCTAAATCATGGGGGAAGAGGTTGTCTGGTAATTTTTAACCTTGCAAAACCTCCTTTAAACCTCCTCATGACACCTTCATCCCTCCCAGCATCTGTGCCGATCCATTTCACTCCTCAGGTTAAATAAGATGGTCATCTCAGATCAGACCTTCTGCTGTGTGGCGACTGCAGACTCCATGGGTTTCTTTAGTGTGATGGTGATAAGAGCTTGTCTCCTCCAACAAAATGGCAGCTGCTAGCAGGAGGTATGTGCATATTAAATAAGTAAAAGCCTGGTGTGAAAATCATCTAAAGCCAGGATGGATCTTCTTTTTCTCTTATTATAAGGTCTTTTTACCTGGGAGAATACATAATGTTTCTTAAGTGTGATCAAAATGTTCTAAAATTTAGCCCATAAAAACCTTACCCAATTTAAGTTTGGCTAATTTCCTGTTCAAGATAATCATTTCGGGCATACCCAGACAGCTTCCAGTGCTGCAGAAGCTCCCAAGATGTCAATAAAGATCACTTGGGATTTCATCTCAAACCTGCACAGACAGCAAACTAGAACTTCTTTTTAAAACTGATGTGTATTACCCATGAAGGTCCACTGCTGGTGTTGATAGCTGGACCTCTTACCACGACCAAGCAGCTGAGAGCAGTTTTTAGCTGAAGGTTCAGTGCTTTAGATGAGGAAAGAGATCTGAAGGATGCTTTTCTCCCCCAAACATTCACAGGGTTCTGCACCGTGAACTGATCCCTCAGGGAGATGCTGTCAATGTGGAGCTTTACTGTAACGTCTACTAAAAACACACTGAAAATGCGAATACGATTTTTGGCCACAGCCACATAATCTTTACTCACTGTCAACAGTTCTTTAAGTCCTGTTCTGGATTCTTTTTTGACCTCCTGGATGCGTCACAGATGAAGTCTCTATTTGTGGAGATGGTGATTCACTGGAGTCTCAAAGCTTTAAAAAGTGGCTTTGTAACCCTTTCCAGACTGCTAGATGTCAATGACTTTGCTTCTCATCAGTTTTTGAGTTTTTTTAGATCGTGGCATGATGTGTTGCTTTTTGAGATCTTTGGTCCGGTTTTACTTTGTCAGACAGAGGTCGCAGTAGCTCAGGAGGTAGAGCAGAAGATGATCAGAGGATTGGCTGCACCAGTCTGTGTGTTAAAGTATCCATAGGCAAAATACAGTTGCTCTCTGATGCACTCACTGGAGTGTGAATGTTAGATAGAAAGCACTTAAGTAATCAGTAATCAGGCACAGACTGGTGAAATTGAACTCAGCTTTCAAAAAAATATGGTTAATCACAGTTAATTCATAATTTAAAAAGGACAGATTTTTTTTTTTGCCTAATAAATGAAATGACTATTTACAAACTACATTTTTTATTTATTTGGGGTCTCTTTATCCAACATCAAAATTATTTGATGATTTGAAACATTTATATATCAGTAATATACAGAAACAAAGACACCAGGAAGGGGGCAAACACCTTCTGTAAAACACCTAACCCTTTTTCACAGCACCATGGCATCCACTTAGAGGTGTAAGAGAAAACGATCTTGAAGCAAAAATGGCAATGCTTTTGTGTTTTTTTTCTGGACATTTCCTGGAACTTTTTGAAATTTTTGTAAAGAAAGACTATGAATAATTTATAAATTTACACCCATCTAATCAATTCAGGGTCACTAGATAGACTAGAGCCTATCCCAGCAACCAAAGGAAAAGAGGGAAGGTTACACCCTGGACAGGTCATCAGCCTGTCGCAGAGCTAACAGAGAGAGACAGACAACCATTCACACTCACATTCACACCTATGGGCACTTCAGAATCTCTAATTAACCTAACCTTACTAACTGCATGTCTTTGGACTGTGGGAGGAAGCTGGAGTGCCCAGAGTGAACCCACAGCCACATGAAAAGATCTTATTTTTTCCTAAAATATATTAAATACACTGCATACTTTGGGTTAACTATATAATCATATAGAGGACCTTTACTAATGTGTACATTTTCACGTCTATACTCTGTTTCTCTTTGCAGCTATCTCTTTAATTCAAACTAAAGAGATATTTCCAGCAATGCAAACTACACTGCATTCTGGTTAGTGAGCCTTAATATATACAATATTAATCAAATAGCTTCCTCATTTTATATTGGACTGAAGTAAATATTTGAAAGAATTTGCTCAGTGCTTGGAGGTAAAATAAATGAAGTCTGCTATGTTGCTTGCTTTACCCTGACCTACATTAGCTGTAAAAAAAAAAAGAAACCAGTCCTTTGTATACTGATAAGGATTTTTTTTGGTACTGGCTTCGAATTTGAATCTCCCATGAGACAAAAGGAGGCCAAGAAAAGCTAGGACGGAAACAAAAAATCTCAAAGTGTGTCCAAAATTTTAAAACCGCAGGCAGCCGTGTCAGAGATAGCATGCAAAAATATATTTCAACCAATTAAGTAGATGATGGACTGCAGAAAAGTAATTAATGAAAAAATAATTACTTAATATCGGCGCAACATGTAGCATTTGGAAATGTCAGCGTATCATTGCCAAATTGATTGTCATCGTTGGTATAATTATCATTAATAAAGAGCCTCGTCATGCCTGAAATACTCTGTGAAAATAAGGACGAGGTTTACCATAGTTTCAGAATCATAAGCTTTCCTTACACGTACTCTTACCTTTTCACTATAAATCTGCAAAGTTAGTGATACAAATGAATCCTTGACTAACATGTGAAACTTGGTTCATCAAGTCTCCAAGGCAATTTTCCTCTTCATCACTTGTTCTCTTTTTCTGACTTTTTATCTATTTTCAGTTACTCGCGGAAGGCTGAAAAATTTCACGTCACTCACCATATTTTAACCTCTTCAATCAATAAGAAGCATTCTATCTCTGATCGCACATCTGCTTTTCATCACTTCTGAAGCATATCGCTGCTATTTTTCACCCAAAGAGGATTTTCAAAGCAATTACAGTATCCATGTTTTTTCTGCCTGCTCTCAATGACTTACTACTTCTGTTACAGGAACAAAAACACTGTCTTTATCGCCCCAGGCTGATATGAAATGTAATATGATGTGGGATTTTAATAATTGTGTGTTGTAGTGTTGTAAAATGGGGCATATTATGGGCTGTAAAAAACAAGCAATTGATAAGATGAGATGAGAAGAACTAGATGATTAGCTGCAGGTGCAGGAGGCTACACTAAACACAATCAACCAGAACACATCAAAGCTTCCTCTCTGCGTTTGTCTGTCGAACTGTATTTTTGTTCTGATTTACACTGTCTTTATCTATTTCATTATCAAATCCATTCTACTTTTTGTTTCTGATGAGCTGCGGTCACATGGTCACAAAGCATGCATAAACATCTGTTTTGTCTCTTGGCTATTTTTTTTGATTAGGCTGCTTTTATTATTCTACCCTCTGTAGTTTTGCTTTATCAACATCACACATGTCCCTGGTCTGTTAAAACAACATGCACATTAAAAAAATTAAATAAACGTGACACAGCAACAGACACAGTAACAGCACAACTATAAGCTGTACGTCCCATATTTGCTTCTCTGCCCTGCTTCTTTTTCTCAGCTGTCTCTCACATGACACGAAACGTCAGGCAGTCACATGCAGTGTCATGATTTGATTGATTCATAATTAGATGTAATCATACATCCACACATATGCACACATGTGAATACGCACACAGAAACACACACATTAACATAACACAAGTGTTTTTTGCGACAAGTGCTTCATTGGTGGATAACCTGTCACGGCGAGTGAGATGAGCCGTGTGGAAATAATAAAGGAGGATCCAATTGCAGGAAGTAGCGAAGGTGTGAAGGTGGTTTATTGAACACGAAATATAAATAGACAAACGGCAACCGGAGAATGAACTAAACTCTACTGGGAACAACTAACTACTGAACATGAACCAGAACACGAACTACAAGAGAATAAGAAAACAATCCATAATGCAAAAAACACACCTAACATGACAACTCAAAATACTGGGTCAAACTGACCCAGAACCGTGACATAACCTCTAAGTTTTATGGTTCTCCAGCTTCTCATGCACGGCTAACATCCGGTGCTCTCGCTCTCTAGTCTACAAAATGACTAATTCATCAGTCACGCCTACCATGAACTGCTCAAAGGTCCTCAAATCTGAGTGTAGACACACACACACACACACACACGCACGCACGCACGCACGCACACACACACACACACACACACACACACCACTTGGTGATGATGAGGTGCAGGATTATTCAGGTTGATGAGAAGATTTGCATAACCGCTTACTCAGCTCCTGTGTCTGAGTGTGGCCGATGTCATATTGTGTCACTTTAGAAAATACAATCTGCTTGATGAGAATGAAGAAAATGTCAGAAAATGTCCCACATGCCCTATAATCAAACAGTTACTATATTGTGTTCTGAAACTGTAAATCTGTAAGTTTTGACATTTCATTTGGCCATATCTTTAGAGTCTAGTGCATATATATTCCTGTAAATACCCTAACAAGGTTATAAGGTTTGTGTCATTTATAGTAGAACCATATTTAGTATTTTAGGGAAAAAGTGGATTATTGTCTGTAGCAACAATGTCTGTAAAAAGGGTACAACTGCAGAGATGAGGTGGAATCAAGATGACTACAGCTTAAGAAATTGGAAAAACCTATATTAAGTGCTTATTGTTTATTTGTGATAATTCTGTATAACCTAGGATTGTATTTTTATATTCAGGATAATTGTATAGAATACAGGTTGTTAGTTAATAATTAGGGAATATAAAAAAATCTGTCTGTAATGTTATACACAATTTAAGAAAACCTTTTTTATACTGCATGAGCTTATAACATGCTTGGGGTCCTAGCTTCATGGGTAGTAACAATTGCATCTCTAAGATCAGTGGTGATGTCTTTACCCCTTGGCACTGTGTAAACACAACAATGCTCAAGATGAAACAAACTTCCAAAATTTCCTTGATTTTAAGACTTCCTGGGCACCGGACGATTTTAAAAGTTCTGATACCTAAAAACATTTAGAATTAAAAGAGGTACGTTCTTTTTCACATGACTCTATCAGGGGCTGGGTCTGTGACCCAGCGTTTTGAGTTTATTTATGTTTTTTTGTGTTAAGTTGATGATAGTAAGTTCTTGTGTTATTGTTCGCTAAGATTTAGTTGAGGTTTATTCTAGTTTTTGTTTCAGCTATGTCTCTTTGGTTATGTGTCTTGTTTCCTGTCTAGTCTGTCACGTGTTTTGTGTCACACTTCAAGTTCTGCTCAGTCTGAGAGTAGATGATGATGATGAAGCTAAGATTAGAATAATAAAAGCTGAGCCTAAATGTTGAGCTGAGAAGCGAGTCTGAGATGTCCTGAAATGAACTAATCCTAAGTTAATATTAAGGCCTTTGCTGTCGTTCCAACCTCAGGGCAAACTTTAGATTCTCCCCAACTTGTGGTAAGGTCATATGAGCAACAAAGAACAACATTGGGAATTGTGTTTCCTGATGGGTAATGAGCCTATAAGCTGCATGATGAGACTTCAAGTGCAATTTGAAATACTATAGTTGGCTGCAAATAATAGGTGGAACAAGAATAGAAAATAATATTTTACTGAGAAGCAATAGTGCATAGATACAGCAATAATAAGTTCCCTAAACTATATGTGTGTGTATTTTAACTGTAGTTTGCAATTGTGTTTGCGCATGTAGCTATCTGTCCATACCTTGCTACATGGCATTATCCAGTAGGCAATAGCCAGGAATGGGAGGCCTACAGTTACTCCCAGGACTGTCCAGCACTTCACACCAATGGACTGCTGCCTCAGGCCAGGCAGATTCTCATACCAGATAGTCAGCAGTTGCTGCTGGCAGTTCGGATGAGCAACGAACTGAAACAGAAGAAAATAAACAAGAAACTTAAATCAGTGGAGAACGAAGGAAGATGACACAGTTTGGGTACAGGGCAAGGATGGTTAAAGGATGAGAAAGACAAACAGGAAAGGGCGAGTGGTGCTAAAAGCAAACAGCTAGTGATGCCAGGATTTTCAAGGAACAACTCACACTAGCTTCATATGACAAAAAGCTGCTTACATAGTCAGGCCGAATAGAAGTATAGAAGTTTTACATTAAGGCAGGTCGTCTTTAATTTAAACCAGAAACAAACCTTGAATATTTTTCTCCAACTTTAGACATGAATCTACTGGGATGGACCCCTTGTAATCTCAGTAGCTCTAGTTATCTAGTTATAAGTCCCACTCATGAAAATCCTCTCATCCAAAATGTGCATCTGCAATAACAAAGGTATACAGCTGAAGGACATAGTTTCAGCCAAGGCCTGACTCACCACGCCTGGGACAGGCTGTATGATGTTGAAAGTCGTTAAACATTCAATGACTGCAGGATACATCAATGATGTGATGTATGTATTTTATAAAATGTGGGTTTTGTTTTGTTTGTTTTATTAGCACACAAAGAAGATGACTATAACTAAAAACGATATTTCAAATATTAAAAATATGCTACCCAGGCACACACAAGTGGCCAACACTGATCCTTTGGTTAAAGTGGAAAACCCAAATTTAGATGCATTGGGAAAAAGGGATGTCTAAGAATGAACAAAGTGTTCGTAAATATCTAAAAAAGCAGCCGGTTAAAGTCCCAGGAAAGCAGCAGCAAAGCATTCCTGTGTGAATGTCTTTCAAGCTTTTAATAAATTTCCTCTGCCAGTGTGGGTTCTTGGTATGTTACATCTTTAATGGATGGAATAAAAAAAATGGTTTCAAGCAATGGGTCTTGAAAATAAAGAAAGTAGGAACATTGTAAGACATGAAATGTTTTTTTGCCTCAATATCATGAATTGATGGCAATTATGTGTCTTTCAAAGATTTTTAATCCTTATTATCTTAGTGAAAGAAAGGATATAATGATAAATAGAAAGTTGAGTGAGAGTCAAAAGAAGTCGCTGTAGCCCACGTGTTTTGTGCGCTTAACGTTCAGTCACTAAGTCAAAAATCTTTATGTATAGATTTTTACAACATGTAAGCTAATATAAACCCCAAAAACCCAAACTGAAAACGTCATTTGAACCAGCACTTTTGACACATGCATTTGTATACACCATTTACAATCTACCACAGCTGGGCTAATTGCTGTGTAACACATATATCTGACATTTAAAACCATAAAACAAGGCAATTAAAGTCCAAAGTCCAAATATTACCTTTGACACAAGATTTACTCTAGTCTCTGAAAGACCACCTGTAGAAAGTGTATCTCAGTACACTGGACACAAATTACTTACAGGGTTTGTGTTATATTACAGAATGGACATCAGCGAGATCAGGCCCAACATTTCGATTATTCGTATACTTTGTCTTTAAAGTGACAAATGCTGAAAATCCAGTGGTAGTAAAAGGTAATAGAGACATTAATGCCTTGACGACAGATCAGTATGTTTTAAGTTACAAATATCAATTTCAAAGCAGAACCACAAAAACAATTCCACCTGGCTGTCCTGCTGCATACAATGGAAACTTGCCCATTACGGTGGGCAAATTGATTCTGTATGAAGCTGGATTGCACACTGAGCACAGAGAAGTCCTCCTGGAGTTGGCCCCTCAGGGTTTGCAGGTTTCTCAGATGACATCTGTCAGGGAATTCAGGATTTAACCCTCCTCTTTACTGAGAAATTCACACCTATTTTCAAAGAACTCAGAGCTGCTCTGAAGTCTCCCACTGTCTCTTCCATAGTGTGGCTTCCGTCTTACTGTCGACATAAAATACAGTCACTGCTTTTCCTTGGAAGAACAGTTTGAGTTCCTTACATAGTTGAAAATGTCACCAAATATGTCAACTTAAAAAGCAACTTAAAGCCAGAGTATTGATCTAACAGTCCACAATAAATGTCCTGACTTCTTCGCCTGGTTTAAAACATCAATAGAGCACCTTAAAATATGAAAACCGTCAGATTTCAGTATGCAGTGTGAAGGGTGGTCATTGTCTATCTCACGTGGATAATATGTTAAACAGCCATGACTACTGTGGATGACAAAAACGTATTCTTCTCAAGCTTCATCTAAAATTCTCCTTGACATCTTTGTGGTCAGTGTCTCTCTGTGGACACAGGTGTGGAAAGCAGAGCCATGTTTTTGACCTTTTCACAACTCCAGTGAATTTGTCACGAACCCGGTGCCGGGGACTCGGGGTTCGTGAACAGTGTGGACCTTTATTGTTATTAGTGTATTGGATGTATGTTTGCTGCACTGTGCTCTTGTGTTCCATGCTGGTGTGTGTGTGTGTGTGTGAGGCTGGAGGATGAAGGACAGCCACCTGCAGGCCTGATGGGTGTGGCCCTGCCAGCTGCTGGTCACGCCTAGCTTACCACACACCTGCTTCTGATCAGGATCGTCGGGGGAGCTACTTAACAGAGCGATGGAGCTTCCTCCGGCGCAGGATCGTTGAGTTAGACTCCACGTCAGTGTCTCTAGTGTTGTTAAAGTGTATGCCTGCCGGAGTTGGTGCCATAACGGCTGTGTCTGTGTTTTTCCCCAGGAGGACAGTGGAACACAGGACTGCAAGACACACGGGGTGTGTGAAGGCACAGGGGCAGAGAGCACGGGATACCAGCACTTGGGAGAAGACACGTCACGGGAGTCGAGGGAGCACTTTTGGAGATTTAATGTGTGGTGTACATTTACCTCACTGTAAATAAACCCACTGTTCATTCCATCAAGTCTGCGTTTTGGGTCCTTTCTCCTACATCCCCCACGGTCTGCCCTCCAGACCGTGACAGAATTATCCAATCCCAAATTATCCAAAAGAAATTGTGTTATTAAGAATAGCTTGAAGGTCCAAGATTCAAGTTTATTATGATGCGCTTTCAAATAGTTCAGTGCTTATTTAATGTCTACACAGAATCTGATGGAACTGTATCAGCAAAATTGCTCTAGTCAAGCAATACACATTTCATTCTCCCACCATTCCAGCTTTTGTGCTTTCATGGTTTTTAAGCCTTTCATTTGTTATTAAAGTTCTAGAATTGATCTAAATGCAGGTCAAAATGGATGCAGACAAAGTTTAATTTAACAAGAAGGTATATCACAGGATATAACATGAACTGACAGGTAAATTTAAAAAAATGCAAAACAAGACAGCAAAGAAATAGCAACAGGTGGTGGTTAGCACATTGAATTAACAAAGATAGATGGAATGTCGGGACTATACTTGCACAGGGGGAGATGGAAATATTTAAGCCTGGATAGCCAATGAGAAGGTGGGAAAGACAAAGAAGTAAAGAAAGCATAGTAAAGAGACAGGTTACCAAATTAAAGAGGACACAATAAATATCAAATGTCTCAAATCCAAAAAGTGTTTTAGAGAAGGCTAAATGCTGGTGGTATTGGGGAGAACTTTCTTCAAGTTTCCCATTATGTTAAGCAAAAACGTCTGGGTTATAACCCACAGGGAAACATAAACAACAGCAAACAGGAAAATCCCCTCAGCAGGTGCAGTGGTCCGCACTTCCTTTATGGGGAATTACAGTTTTTAATTATGAAAAGTATGCATACTATACATGATACTTCAATACAACTAAATTAACAAATGCCAAGAGGGTAAAATTGACATGATTAAATATTACATATTTGCGAAAGGGCATCTGGTGCTAATTTACTTTTCCAAGTATCTCAAGTTGCTTAGTGTCCATTCTGAATATCTATTTCTAGTACTTGAGTATTGTGTATTCATAAAAATCTGAATATATTACTACCTAAACGAAGTCAAGTGGCAACCTTTAATACATTTGTGTTTATGGTTTCCACTTGAATTCATTTAAAAAGAAAAATGGCAACAAGCAGGATGGAAAATCAATTTAATATACAAAGTGCAAAATAAATAAGGCAATAAGAAGTGGTGCATTTTCACATTAATTACAGAGTTTATTCTAAGTAAGGCAGTGATAAATGAAAGCCAGCAAAGGTCTTACAACGCAGGAGAAGATGGATGTTTTTCTTCCAGCTGGAGGAAGGATGTGGACAACCAAGCAATCAATGTTCAGTCAGCAGTCAGCTAGTGGAACAATCAAACGTTGTGTTTGTGTGTTTTGTATTCACGTCTAAGATTTCAGCAACACCTCACTTCTGGTCATGTGTGCTCTCCCTCGATTTCTGTTCACTTTATTGGGTTCACCCAGTCAATCAATGCCTATCCATCACTTCACCAGTGACCCTTGATCATCACGTTTGAGGAACATTTATCTGAGCTGACAATTGACATTTTCTGCTTCCTCCACCGATTGAAACAAACACATACAATTTGCATATGGCTGAAAAGCCTCAAACAGTAATACATACACCACCACCCATTCAGTTACTATAACTTACCACTGAGCAGTCCATCAAACCAATAACCCCTGACATGAAAGCCTCCTGTGTCCATCTACATGCTCTACATGCAGTCACGCTCCACCTGGTTTCCATGGCAATCACACCCTCCCTCTCCTCTTGCCTGGTGTAATTAGCTGCCTGGTATTGGTCATGCTCTCTTGTACAGGATACAAAAAAGCAACCTGTTTAATGCCCAAAACACACGTGTGTGCGCGCGCACACACACACACACACACACACACACACACACACACATATACACATGTATACAAATACACCTGTGCGCATGCACAACTACACCAGGGAATTACCTGATTAAAGAAAACATGAGGCACATTAGGATCAGACAGGAACACGTGTGAGTGAGAGAGAATGGCAGGGCCAAATGGGGAAAAGGGATTTGGTTTGACATTTTCCTGAGCACCTCTGCACAGCAGGGATTAACTTTTACACACCGGTCAGTGAGTTGTTTACAAAAGGGTCCTGTGAGTCCACATTCAAAACAACACTCAAGCATACTGTACTGGAAATATACTGCACAAACAGATCAGAGAAACTAGCTTAGTTAGAAATAAGTCGGGTTACATGTTAAACTGCAATAAATAATGTATTTCTATCCATGCCATGGGAATTAAAGGTAGTGTGTTGCATTGGGTTGAATCATATCTGTCTAATAGACTCCACTTTGTTCATGTAAATAAGGAGTCTTCTTTACACAACTACACACACTAACGTTTATTATGGATTTCCAAACTGTTCCTTGCTAGGACTAATTCTGTTTACATTGCTCATATTTCCTTTAGGCAGTATCATTAGAAGGCATAGTATACATTTTTATGCTATGCAGATGATACCCAGCTATTTCTATATATGATGCCACACACCAGTTAGCTAGCAATGTCTTAAAGACATGAAAACCTCGATGACCTCTGAAGTTTCTGCTTCTAAATTCAGATAAAACTGAGGTTATTGTACTTGGCCCTAAAAATCTTAGAAACGTGATGTATAACCAGATACTCTGGATACAATTACCTTGGCATTAAGTAACAGAAAGAGGAATCTTGAAACCAATATTTTCACCAGGATTTGTTCTTAAATGTCCATAATAAACAAATATGCAGGACTTTCTTGCATTTTTACAAATATCTCTAAAATTGGAAACATCCTGTCTTAGAGTGGTACTGAAAAGCTAGTTCATGCATTATTATTTCTGGACTATTCTAATTCATTATTATCGGCTGTTCTAAAACCTCTCTGAATTTCAATTTATCCAAATTGCTGCTGTGAGAGTACTGACAGGAACTAGAAAGAGAAAGCAGATTTCTCCCATATTGGCTTCTATTCACTGGCTCCCTGTTAAAGCCAGAATCGAATTTATAGTCCTGGACCTCACATACAAGGTCTTAAATGTTCAGGCCCCTCATAATACAATATCACGCTAACAGTGCACTTTGCTCTAAGACTGCTGGCTTACTTGTAGTTCCTAGTGCTTGCTCAAAAAGGGGTTGTCTGACTATTTCTTTGATCCGTAACTTAAAATATAAAGCGCTTTGAGGCGACTGTTGTTGTGATTTGGAACTATATAAATAAAATTTGATTTAGCCAAACTGACAAATCTGCACTTATATTAATGTGTCCATGTTAACACAACAACTAAAAAGTATGTGGTGAGTCTCATTCCACTTTTTTTTTTTACTTCTGGGCAGTGCTGATAATACTCGAATTCCTATGTGTGTGTAATAACCTTAATGGAAATGTACAGGTCCAAAAGGTCAAAGTTACAAAGCAGTCAAAGTTATTATACAACAAAACTGTCTTCTTCCAAACAACAAATGGACCTTAAAGTTGAAATGACGAGAGGATTATTGGTCATGTTTTCTTGCGTGGTCCCATGTGTTTTGGGGGTTGGGTATGGATTTTTGGAACTGTAAAGACCCAAAAAATGAGCTCCAATGATATCTCAGATGTACTGCCCTTTCGAAAAGGTTAAAGAAAAAGAAGTTGACATAGTACATGAACACCAGTATTAGGTATCAAAGTCAAACACACTGTGTGACAAGCCTCTTCACCTTTAGAGACCTATAAAGCTGCTGAGACAAACAATTACCGTTTTTTCTTGTAGTCTTTTGTATTATGTTGGCATTTTGCTTAGTTATTACTTACAGAAAATGTTTTCACAGTTCCTGCAAAAATAATTTAATCCCACAAAAAAGGCATTACATACTGCATTGCTAATTCTTTGAATAATTTTTACACTAATTTTTAATGTTGCAAATTAATGCAATTTGTAAAATTCGTTACATTTTTTAACGAGCTAATCGGTTTTTGTCTTACCTTCTTGACTTCATACTTGATAGCCAGTTTGACACGGCTGAGGCAGGGACGGTTGTAGGGACTCGGCGGGCACTGATCCACGTCGCCATTCAAAATCGCCTCAACTTCCTCTGTGTCCCGACAAAGGTCCAACACACCCACCACAAAGTCTTTACACTGCATGGACAGCTTACGGTAGTCATTCTGCATGAGAGTGGATGATGTGAATGTATTTCAGAAGGGAGGAAAGAAGGAAAATATTTTATTTTAATTTTCACATAGGTGTTAAATGGTAAATGGCCTGTATTTGTATAGCGCTTTGCTAGTCCCTAAGGACCCCAAAGCACTTTACACAACCAGTCATCCACCCATTCACACACATATTCACACACTAGTGATGGCAAGCTATATTGTAGCCACAGCCACCCTGGGGCGCACTGACAGAGGCGAGGCTGCCGGACACTGGCGCCACCGGGCCCTCTGACCAGGTGTTACAAAATGTACAATTCTTCACAGCCTGAGAATCATCCCTGTCCCTACATAATAATCACCTGCCTCTTTTTGTGTTTTCTCAGGTAGTTAGAAATCTTTTACAATGTTTAACCGTGGCTTGTTAGCATTGTATCTTTTGGCTTGAACTGGCGTTTCCTACCTTTTCACACAGATGGAAAAATCTTCAGTTTGAGCGGTTATCGAGCGAAGATTCTGTGGGACTTTCAGATACAGATGGACAAAATGGTGGTCCTAACCAACCGGACAAACAGAAGAAAACGGCTGTAGCGATCGATGTAGCAGTTCCGAATGACAGCAACATCAGGAAGAAGGAACACGAGACGCTCGAGAAATATGAAGGGTTCAGAGAAGAGCTCCAGAACATGTGGAGGGTGAAGGTAACAGTGGTCCCAGTGGTAATCGGAGCACTAGCTGCAGAGACTCCAAAGCTAGGCGAGTGGCTCCAGCAGATCCCAGGAACAACATCAAAGATCCTCTATCCAGAAGAGCACAGTCCTGGGAACAGCTAAGATACTGCACAGGACCCTCAAGCTCCCAGGCCTCTGGTAGAGGACCTGAGGCTGAAGAATAGACCGCCCAACAGGGGCGAGAGGGGATTTATATATATATATATATATATATATATATATATATATATAAAAAACACCCAGCACGCCCCTGCGGGCGGTTTATCCTTAGCGTACAGCCTCAGGGTGCTGGATTTGGGGTGAAACCCTCCATGCATGGTAAGGAGCTTTCTTGTCTTTATGTCAGTGGCTTCTATCTCCTCCTTTGGCCAGCCTATTACCCCAGCAGGGTACCTGATCACGGGCAGGGCGTACGTGTTGATGGCCCGGATCTTGTTCTTACCATTCAGCTGACTCCTCAGGACTTGCCTGACCCTCTGCAGGTACTTGGTGGTTGCAGCTTTTCTAGTGGCCTCTTCATGGTTCCCATTCGCCTGTGGGATCCCCAAGTACTTGTAACTGTCCTCTATGTCTGCAATGTTGCCTTCTGGTAGTTCAATCCCCTCAGTTCTGACTACCTTCCCTCTCTTTGTTACCATCCGACTACACTTCTCCAGTCCGAACGACATTCCAATGTCATTGCTGTATAGCCTGGTAGTGTGGATCAGTGAATCGATGTCTCGTTCACTCTTGGCATACAGCTTGATGTCATCCATGTACAGGAGGTGGCTGACAACTGCTCCGTTCCGTAGTCGGTATCCGTAGCCAGTCTTGTTAATGATCTCACTGAGGGGGTTCAGGCCTATGCAGAACAGCAGTGGGGACAGAGCATCTCCTTGGTAGATCCCGTACTTGATGGTGACTTGTGCTATGGGCTTGGAGTTGGCCTCTAGTGTTGTACGCCACATCCCCATTGAGTTCCTGATGAAGGCTCTTAGGGTCCCATTGATCTTGTACAATTCTAGGCATTCCAGTATCCAGCTGTGGGGCATTGAGTCATAGGCCTTCTTGTAATCAATCCAGGCAGTGCACAGGTTGGTCAGTCTGGTCTTGCAGTCTCGGCTGATTGTTCTGTCTACCAGTAGCTGGTGTTTTGCGCCTCTGGTATTCTTGCCAATTCCTTTCTGTGTCCCGCTCATGTATTGACCCATGTGCCTGTTATATATATATATATATATATATATATATATATAATATAATATAATATAATATATATATATATATATATATATATATATATATATATATACATATATATATATATATATATATATATATATATATATATATATATATATAAATGGTCCTCAAACAACTGAATGAAGGCATCTCGATGTTTCCTTTTGCAGTATCATTTTTTGAAATGCTCAGTCAGTACCTTCCCACGCATCTGATTTTACTTGTACACAATTCTGCCAAAAAACAACAGAATTCTTCTAAATAAATCCCCAACATTTCAATTTTATTTCAGATAAGACTAAAAACTTAAAAACAGAACAGAAGAAGAGCATAAATGAGGATAAAGTAGGCCAATCCACTCCTTTAATCTGTTCTTTCAGTGACCATACTGTGCTGCCCCAGCTGGGAAGCAACAACAGAATGCTCTAAATATGGCACAATGATAGAAAAGTTATTACTGTACTTTCTTACATAGCAGTTGTGGATGAATGTCTTTTTTCAGTGTTTTCAAAAGTCACTTCAAAAATTATGAACTCAAAATAAAGCTGAAATGTTCATGAATTTCCTAAAGCTGCTAAACCCTAATAACTGTGTAATTACACTAAATGAATACTCTGAAGTAGCTAGTTTTATTTTTCTTAACTTTCAGTTGCAGTTTATTACAAACTGAAACAATTTATTAAAAGCTTCGTTAAAATGAGCACAATTGATTCGTTCAATAAAAGTTCAAGTTTCAATCTCTTACCCCGTGGCTCTCACTGTGCTCTCTTAGCTTTCTTTCTATCAACCACTTTTGCTTGATTCTGTTTAGCAACAGTTGGTTGAACAGGAAGCAGTCAGTAGGCTGGAGCTTCTGGCAGATTTAGAGTCCCTGAGGAATGATTATCATTATGCATTCACCGCCATGTTTGTGCTCTGCTCAAGCAAACTATTACACCGTGTTGAGGCAAAAGCTTTTACATTGTTCTTTTCAGTAAAATAATTAGCATTAAACACAGTAGGAAATTATCATCTCCCCTTTCTCAACTTTCTTTCAGTGCATCTTTTTAAGCAGGTAGCATAAACCCCATTCAGCTACAAAATATCAATACATTTTCAAATTTGGTCCATGTTGCTTACATTTATTATTTAAAAAAATAAAAGAAGCCAACCCTTTGGCAACAAGCAATAAAAGCATTTTTTTTCCTCTTTCAGGCTGCTAGATGAAAGAAATCAATTATTATCTCAAACCTATTCAAAGATAGGACTTCAGGCTATAAGAAGTAAAAAAAAATATTTTCTTAAACAGTGGTATTTTCATTGCTAAACAGACATCAAAAATGCACACACAAAGATAGTACGCATGCATGAAAATCCAATCATGTTGTGTGGGTTTTTACCTTGACAACTGAGACTGAGGACAGTGTTGTGAGATTGAAATTGGAGACAGAGCGGTGTGAAACCGAGTGAGAATGGTTACAGATGAGTGAACTGAGGGGTACGCGAAAAGAGAGAGAGAGAGAGAGAGAGAGAGTGTCAAATGTGACACAATCAGAGAGAGAGAGAGAGAGGGGACAGGGGAGGTAATGTAATGTAAGATGGAGGCACTCTCCTTTTTGTTGTCTTTTGTCTCAGCTTTGCTCAATATTTCATTATTTAAAAAAAACATGCAAAATTATATTTCAAATAAAAGTTAATTGACACTTTCCACTCTCTGATTGTATCCTCTCTTACTGCTCACTTACTTTCTAAAAGGTATTTGGAGCTTTTCTATGTGTGTCTACAGAGGCTCAGATGACAAACTGATGGGTTTCTTGTGGAGTAAGGTTCAGTTCTGATGGATCCTTAGCAGTCCCCACATAACAATTCAATATGCGGCGAATTTAACACTATTGCTCCTGCAAGGAGACATGTTGTGCATCTTCTCCAGTGGATGAGAAGTTTTAACCTAACTCACACTGAACATCCAGTTTGATTTAAACAAATGAACTTGTGTCTTACATTACATTCAAAATGTATGTGTACAGTCAGGGAGCTAGCTAGTAGATAACATCAATATGTCAACAAAGCAAAAAGCTTTTATTTGAATCTGTCAAACAGTTCAATTTCAGCTTGTCACTTATGTAGTGGGCGAAATGAATGATAATGACAATATACAAATATACAGCACTGACAGTTGATGTAAAGCCAGGCAATTGTTATTCTTTAGGAGAAGTGATACCTGAACCTAACACCTAATGCAGGGAGAGGGGGGGGGGCACTCGACTTCAGTTTTATCTTTAAGTCAGTTTGTGATGGTGTCCGAATGTATTTTATTCTCTTATGTGAGCGGGGGGGGGGGGGGGGGGGGGAAACGACAGCCACTGAAAATGCTGTTAATAATAGCTTCTGAATATTGTTTAAGTAAAACAAGTGCAAAGAAAACAGACACACAGAGAAAACCAACAATAAGGAAAATGGGGTCTGATGATTTGAATAATGTGAATTTAGAGGCTTCTTGAATAAATAGGCTGCTGATTGGCAGCTTATTTCTCAGTCTTGGACAAACACGTACCTTCAATTATGCTTCTCTGAAAATACACATGAATAAATCCACAGACGCTTAGAAATATGTTAGAGATTCCCATATGTCATAGAGGCTCACAAAAGCACTAACATGGTCATTGCCTTAATCTCAAAAACACATTATGTATACTTGTACAGCACTTCAAGCAGGTTGATTAGATTATTCAGCTCCTTTCAGGATACTAGCTTTAGAAGTGAGATGAAAGAAATATAAACTTATGGCATAAATTCTAAATTAATTCACCAAGGAAATGGTGAGGACTGGGCATATTAACTGAGATTTGTATGAATAGATAAATATACCTCTGAAGTCATAAAATTGCACCTAATAGCATACAAAAGTTCATATGTAACATTTTGTGTTAGCAACAAAATGCTCTAACTTTTCCCGCCCACATTTGAACGTTCCTGTCACGGTTCTGGGTCCGTTGGACCCAGTATTTTGAGTTTATTGTGTTTTGATTTAAGTTTGCATCAGGGATTGTGTTCTTGTTCTCTTGTCGTGTTATGGTAATGTTTATGTCTATTATTAGAGTTCCATGTTCTGTTTATCTGGGTTTAAGATGTGGGTTTAGTTTCATATGTCATTTCAAGTCTGTCTCTGTCTAGTCTGTCTTAGTAAAGTGTTTTGTTTCCTGTTTTATTGTGAAGGTCTGCGTCTCATGTGAGTGTGTTCAGTTTTACCTTTGTCTCGTCTTGTTGATTAATCCCAGCTGTGTCCACCACCTGTGTGTAATTCCCCTGTGGTTCTCTGTGTATTTAAGTCATGTCATCAGTCATTGTTGTTGCTGGTCCGTCTGTGTATTCCACTCTGCGTCATCTGTGTATCTACCATGTCACATCCGTGTGCTCTCCCTGCTGTCCATCGTCATTCTCCTCTGCTCGTTCTCATTCAGGTTTGTGCTTTGTAGTTTAGTTGTTTCCCAGTATAGTTTAGTTCCAGCTCCATTTTCCGTTTGTATTTACTTTCATGTTCAATAAACCACCTTTACACCTTCACGACTGCCTGCACTTGGATCCTCCTTCATTTCCTCCACACGGCTCACCTCACTCGCCGTGACAGTTCCATAAAAACACACAGCTTACTTACTTACTTGATATTTTAAATTAATGAGAAGATGATGCGATAAGGGACAAGAAAACAAATAAAGAGAAAAAAGACAGAGGGGTGATAATGAGATGGTAATGAGACAGATGAGCTCCAACACAACTGTGGTCCCTCAGGTGAGCCCTTCTCATTAACTTGTCTGGAGACAGAACAGACTGACAAGCAGAAAGGCTGAATATCAGACACAAATGGGGGGTAGAAAGCGGAAGGACCAGAGAAACAATGACAGTTATTAACAAGAGTGTTGAGGGTAAGAGAATGAAGCACTACATGGGTGCACAAAGGCATGCCATTTTCTGGTTCACCAGATGCTTCAGTACCATCTAATGGTAATCACACCAGTGCACATTTTACATGCAGTTATTCATAGTACTGCTAGGATTTCTTTAAGATGTACCCATAGGCCATTACTAATAGCTTCCACAAGCCACTCGTGCAGTCAGTCTCTGAAGAAAGACAGTCGACTGACACTTGCATACTCTCTAGCTCCTTTGCACAGGTCTGAGCAAGCTTAGACAAGACAGATCCAATATCGCAGCGAAAACTGTTCTCACAGCTTTTCTTTGAAGACAGTTTTTCACTTATAAGTGAATCTCACTTGACAAAACAAGGAAATCGTTAGAAATTTAAAAAAAAAAGATCAAGTATAAATGTATACATATAATGTACGAGTCTAATGGATGAGTGTCTCTGGTTTTTCAGTGAATGCCTTACCCATTATATCCAACGCTAACTGATTTGGGACTCGTACACGAGCTGGCACAGTAGGGGGAAATAAGCTCTCTCTACCTCAAGCTGCTACCCAAAGCATGCCCACCTGACCACACAGTGTAAAGTGAGCACAAACCAATGACCCTGCCTTGACAGAGATGCCAGCAAACAAACTCAGGTTTGATTTTTTTGTTTAAAAAAGAATGAAAAAAAATTCAAATCATTTTCGTACAAGCTACAGAAAACAAGGGAATATCAGTTAGGCACACTGTCTGAAGTTCTCCTTTCTTACATTTAACCCAGAAGATAATAGTCCTCTTTAGATATGTTATCACTTGTGGAAATACTCTTTTTGATTTAGATGAGAGAGCTGCCAGTGCAGTGTACACAGGAGGAGCATGAGCTGCTCTATTCTGAATTTGGACTTTGATCTCGGGATTTAAAGGGTGTTTATTGTCCAGTCCAACTGCGTCAGACATTGATGTTTCCACATGTATCTCCATCATGTAATGTTTAGAAAGGTTCAGGGTTGGAGTGCATTAATGATATGGGCTTTACATTTTTAAGAAACAATATTAAATATTACACAAAATAATCCATTTAGAGGCCACTCACCTCTAACCCTGATCCTAACGTCCAATCTTTAAACCTCAAATATCCCTTCGGAGATATGATATTTACTTCCAAGCTTTTGAAATTAAAATTATTCCTCACCAAGACAGTGACACAAATACTAACGTACATTCACATCAGTATTTTTACATCAGTTTCATTATCATGGAAGCAAGGTGTGTTTTGGTGACTGCAGCATAGAAAGGAATTTTTCTCTCACAATGCAAAATGCTCCATTTTAAACTCTTTCCCCCCCCCCCCCAACAACTTGAGGGCACATTGAATTACTAACAGGTAGTTCAAAAGGGTAATAAAAATCTACAGTGCCCTAGGAAATACATTCAAGATGTGATCACTGGTAGGAATGCGGGGAAGAGTCAGATGCATATATTTTCTTAAAGCAGCATATTCCTGATCTATATAGCTTTAAAAAAATAGACCAATAAAAATACCTTAGTCAATCACAATACCAGGCTCAAGAAAAGATAGATCCCTGAAAATAATGTTCAATGTGCTGTTTTTACTTAAGCATCTGCACTGATGCAGCTGCATTCAACAAGAAGCTTCCCCTTGGAGCAAAACTAAAAAAAACAATTCAGGACAGGGTTTATAAATTTTATTATAAAGAGCTTACAAACTTTCAGTGGAACAAAAATATAGGTATATTTTCTAAACTATTTAAAACTGTCAACTTATCTCACACTTGATTTAGAGTTGATAAATGCTACTGAATCGACTTGTGGAGGGCATATTCAAGGTGATTAAAGAGCTAATGGATGCTTAAACAAACCTGAGCTGTGAAATAACTGCTGTGTTCTGTGATAAAACGGATACATGAATAGGTTAATGTTGACATTTCTAGCTCATCTTTAAACACTGGCAGTTAATGAGTTGAAAATATCTCAAATACTTATCTAATACTTAAAGTATGCTAAAGCTTGCAAAACCCAGTTTCATGACTAGATGGTGGCCACTCTCCCTTGGCCCCACAAAGCAGTTAAGGTTTACACCACCATCTACTTTAGTTTTAGAGTTTTGGTGCAGTGCGTCTGACTCTTGCTTTTGTAGTTGCACTTTAGGAGAAACACTGGATTACATTCTTTCCCTTTAATTCCTTATATGGCTTGACAGCTGCAGATGGCAGGACAATCCCTTGATACCAAGAGAAAGACAGAGTGAGAGAGGAATATTACTGGGGCTAGTGCCAACTGCTCAAACTGATATGGCATGGAATCACCATGGTGCTCCACTGCACTAATGTCAGTTTTTGGATTCTGGAGGGGAGCAGTCGCTCATTTCAAAAGAGCCCTTTGAGATCCCTTGTGATTCTGTGTCACTTTTCTTCTCTGGCCTGAGGATCACTGAACAAATCCTGGCTCACACATCTGTTCATCCTCCTCAGCCCTTTCCTGCCACCCACTTACATGCTTTTTAGCATTTTTCAAATTTAAGCAGCGGGTAGAATAAGGTTCATAGCTGGCGGTTGAACTTATAGACACTAGTGTACATTTGTAGTATGACATCTGTATCTCTACAAAACAAATCTTTATTTTTAAACTAGTAAAGTATGAAGAAAGAGAAGAATGAAGAAAAGCCAATAGGACACCTCACCTTAAATTCTGTCTCAATGTTGGCCAGTCTTGCCAGTTCATTGCTGAGCTCGAGGGCGGTGAGCACAGGGTCTTCACTGCTGAGCGACAGGTAAGCTGCACTGGCCAGGGCCTTATATGCATTCATCCTGGAGCGTGAGTGGCTGAAGGAGTCTTTCTTCTGTTTCTCCACACATTCTGAACATTTACAGAAATAGTCATGGGGCCTTTCAATGCGAGCCCCCTTCGTCAGCAGGATGTGGACAATTTCGTATTCCTGGCAGTGAGCAGCCAGGACGATGGGTGTGATGTCATGCGAGAAGCGCGTTCCGTCTTCGTCGTAGGCGTAAAAGTCATCATCACGCATCTCTTGCTCCAAAGTGCTCAAAGCCAGCCGCAGACCTCCACCAAAAGCAGGATGGGCGAGAATGGCTTCAACGATTCTAACATAACCTTTTGAGATGGCCAAAAGGAGGCCATCACCAATCCTAGCCAAACCATCTTTCTTTAGCAGCAGCTCAGTAACTTCTAGGTGCTCGTTACCCACTGCGAGCTGCAAAGCATTCTGGCCCATGTAGTCCACACAATTAAAGTTAAGGGTTTTGGACTCTTCCAGCATCTTGCGGACCACAGGAATGTTTCCGTATTCAGCAGCATCCAGAAAACGCTCCTCCTCTGCAGTGAGGGCCGAGCCACGCTCATTGAACATATAGGCTGGGCCCCGCACTGCCTGGCGACGCCCCTTCTCCCTCAACGTTGTGTGGCGGCGATGCATGGCTTCCACCCTGGAGACAGTAAAGACAGTTAAACACACTACATCATTAAAAACCACAATGATTATTGAGATGGCAATGGAGGTAGAACACAACAAAGGAATTCAAGACTCAGAGAAAGAAGCAACAAAGTGATGAAGAGTAAGTGACTGAAAATTAGAGAGGAAGAAAGCAAATGTTGAAGGCAAGCAGAAAGACTGCTAAAATCTGTTTGCCTATGATGTATCATACCAAGTCCTCCATGGACAGTTGTCAAATCTCTTTGTTGGGCAGGTCAACAGCTGTGATTGCCAAAGCAGAGATGAAGCTGTCAGCTTAACTAGCTTTAGAATGACAAACTTATACTGTGTCATCCAAAGTGACCATTTGAACACTGGTGAATAAGAGTTAGTCACTTGGAAATTTGCATGGATATGGATTTAAAAATGCACATCCTGCTCTTTACAGTGTCTGTTTCTACCTTTGTCCAACCATCCGAAGTAACACAGTGCCAGTAGATTGAAGAGAACTGCTTTTAATCATGTCCATTAGTGCAAAACAGTTTTCATCAGGACTATTGTGCTCCAACTACTTTGTTACAAATTGTCCAAATCAGCACTATTGTACTCCACCCACTGCAATTAAATTCACCGTAGCATCTGTGTCTGCTGTATGATTGGACAGTCGGTGAAACCCAGATAATGAAAAAACCTTGAAACTCCCCAGAGAGAGAGAGAGATAGCAGAGGTGAGGTACCGTTTTTAAAGCCATAATTGGGTAGTATTATCCATGTACAAGACTGTTAAAGGATTTTCAATATAATGCTGCTATTATGAGTTAAATGGCTGTAAATGATACAGTGACCTTATAAATGACTAGGGGTCCAGATTCATATTAGACCTGCCAGCAAAATGAAAAAAGTAATAAAAATACCATGTGAGGTTATTTTGAATTTGAGTTATTTGTAATTGTGTGCGTGCGTGCGTGCGTGCGTGCGTGCGTGCGTGCGTGTGCATGGACAGAATGCAGGACATTGAATTGAAGGAAATGGTGAAAATGGAAACTTGTTCAAGGTAGAAATATTCCCCAGGGGTGTCAAAGGATGTGGAACTGAGAAGATGAAGAGAGCTCACCAGGACAAATCTTGTGTGTACATGTGAGTGTGTGTATGGGTTTGGGAGGGAGGGAGGGGGAGAGAGAGAGAGTCAAATGTGACACAATCAGTTGTGCATGTCCTTGACTGCCAATCAGTGGGAGTAAGCAACCCCCACCCCCCATACAGAAACATGAACAATTACACATTAGGGCACCAGAATATGAACAAAACCTAAATTAACAATAGAATGTAATGTAAGGTGACACTATACAGTGGCTCTAAAGAAAGTACTATCTATTAACTCCTACACAAAAGCATCTTTTCCTATTGGTCATTGTGTGTTTTGTTGAGTCAGTCCTTTACGCTCTAAGTTGTGTCTAATGTCTTCTCCACCTTTACACACACACACACATACAGAGGGGGATATTCTTACAGAGATATTTGTAAACATTGGGAGGATTTCTCATAAATGAAGAAAGAGGCTGGCTGCCAGCCCATTTAGATAACCTTATAGTCAGGTAATGAATCGCCATTATCTGTCCCTTTCTAGCTCCCTCTCCATCCATCTTTGGCTGTTTGTGATTCGGCTCTGAAATAAAATTTACCGTCATCATTTTAATGTGGAACGAGAGTCACGCAGACAAGAAGAGCCAGACACAATTGAGATAAACAGGCAGAGAGAAGCCATGTCTACATGTAGGTACAGAACAAGAAGAGAAATTATCAAAGCATGGCATGTGTACATATGTGTTTTGGCTTATATATCTAGGGTCTGAGACTAAATTCCTATGTCATAGAGTGGTAATTCTAAAGAAAGACAAAAAAGACTTATTGCATTTAACAAAAGAAGAAGAAGGGAAGAAAAACTGCTTTTTAAAACAACCAACATCTGACTACAATTGTCCTCTTGGAGAGTACAATATTTATCCAAGAGCTTTGGTTATCAATCTATGACTTACTTTATACTGGAGTACTTTAATGTTGTTTCAAACTATTTTATTAAATCTACCCACCTCAGTTTCATACTAAGTATACACTCTGCATTTTGTAAAGTGGACATGGCTTCAAAATCATGAAGCTTAGATTCAGTGGTGATGGCACCTATTTTATTTTCATTTAATGTGATCAGACTATTCACTATAGTAATGTAAGTACTGTTTTTTTTTTAATCCTGAAACTGCAGCTATTACTGAGTCTGCCCAATTTGCTGGTGGATCCCAGTATGAGCCTCCTGCAGATCACTGAGAGCGGCTGTCCAATCACACAGCTCCCTCTTGTACTAGCAACAAAACTGACAGAAAAAGACAAAAAAGCAATCTTGCACCATTGCCGCAAGTATCTCTAACACAGCAGTGGTGCTTGTTCAGAAAAATGTCTCAAACTACAGTTCTTTTGAGATCTCAGACACTTAATTGGCTTGAGTCTAGCTCACTGAATTGTAAAAGTTCAACCTCAGTCGTAGTTTGGGTGATGCACAGGTGGACAGACCAGGTTTTTTTTAAAGAAAAACATCATATGTGGCTAAAAAATGTATATTATACAAGCATTATTGGAAAACTAAGCCAGGAAGCCAAGCTCAATGAATAGCTACAACATAAATTAAAAAAATAAAAATAAAATACATGGTTGGACTATATCTCTACAAAACAAATGTAAATGCTACTTTCTGGAGTAAATATGCTAAACCACTCACAGTCAAACGTAAGGCGTTTTTATGCTTTTTACTCACAAAGCAGCAAAAAAATGTGTTGGAAATGTACAATGAAGCCTTAACACAGAATGAAAATACAATAAGATAACTGTCACTATGAGCTTTTCAGCCAGGTAAACTGCATGAACAGTTTTTTACGTGTCCTCTTTTCACACTTGAACTTTCCAGGGTTGAGGCACTAAGTCATTTATAATCTGTGCAGGCAATCAATTAGGTTAGGTCATTTACCGGTGAACTAGCAAGAAGGAAGGAAAGAAAAGATTAATCAGGTTTGAAATCAAATTTTATAGAAATGACTAATGAGTTAGTGTTTTATCAGTGGGCAAACACACACATACACACAAACACACAAACACACATGCACATCTGAGAAAAGTTACACTCTTGGCTCTCTGTCTCTGCTTTTGTCAACCACACACAGAGTTCAAACAGTAAATTGCCATTTTTTTAAGATCAAAGTCGAGTTACTCAACATAATTTAATGGTAATGAGAAACAGACATGTCCAGCCTCTCTAACCAGCTCTTTCACACAAAACCTGAGCACACATGTGTCCAACATTTCACCTAGTCAGCCATCAGAGAGAGCTTCTTCCATGTTAGGCCTGTTAAGCTGAACACTGGTATCAAAAAGCCAGACCAGGGAAGATCAAAGTCCAAACTCTGAGGCCTGTTATTCTCAATATCTGATAGTCATAGCTAAGCTGGCAGTGTAACATTAATATCCATTAAGTATTGTCATTTATGTCCCACTTTTTTCCTCTGGACATTTTCTAAATTGATGCAGTGGGCTGCATACACCAAAACTGTGTTCCTTTGTTTGAAACAATTCAATACATATGTAGTTATACAGGAAACAGCTAAACATAATTCTGTACACTGTATAGCGGAAATCCATCTCTGCAACCTGCTCCAGCTCTGTGTCACATGCCTTAATCTGCCCCTGTTTCCTATTTAACGATCTCTGAACACAAGGAGGTAGTAAGGGCTTCACTTCCTCACATATGCATTTTGCACATACAAGACTTCACAGCTTAATGGAGGTTGAGATGGAAGAGAAAGTGGCAGCTTTAGAAATTCCACTTACTGACTTACAGTGAACTAATATTTCAGATAACAGCACATCTTAGCATGTGATGTTAAAAGCACAGTAAGTTCAGATATGTCACCAATAACATTACTCAAAGCATTTATTTGAAAAGTCTGCTAATGTGCTGTCTATGCAGTGTCGGTCTGTGCCTCACAAGCTAGGTGCACCTGGTTTAGTGTCAATCCTGCCTGCCTCCACGCTTTTCAAAACTGACCTCTACTTGTTGACATTCCAGGTGGATTAAGGTTTGTGGTTATAGTTTAGAAATAAGTCCACGGACTCTGCACAAGGCCAGTGATCACAGGGCACGCGAATTAATTTTCTGGCTTAATTATATAAGGTGAGGGGGAGGACTCACGTTTGCCGGGTTTCGGAGTTGAACTCGGTGTCTATGTGCTCAACAGTGTAGTGGTTCCCATAGTCCGAGAGCTCCGGAGCCCGGTGCAGTCTCTGTCCGCGGTGCTGAAAGCGCTCAGCGTTGGCCGCTCCACGTCCCCTCCACTTGGGAAACGGGTCATCGTACTGGTCGTAGACCGCATCTATGTGTATACCCGGCCGCGAGAGAAACGGCGAGCCGGTGTCCCCGGTGCGCTGGGGGAACTTTGGCGGCGTAAAGTGTGTGGAACCCCCGGTTTCCTGGTACTCTGGAGACGGGTGAAGACACTCCGGAGAGGCGAGGTAAGGTGGGTCGGTGTCCCCAAGCAGCGGAGAGGCGGAGGAGAACAGGTCTAGGGGCCGCGGAGAGGAGGGAGATCCTCGGGGAAGTCTGAGAGAGAGAGGCGAGGAGGGAGACTCGGAAAGGTGCCCCCTCTCGCCGCTGTCGCTTTCCTCGCCCTCGTCACACATTGGGAGAGTTCCCGTCCACCATATACTTTAAAATATTTAAGCTATGTGACAGACATTTAACAGTATTTGTCAAAGTTGCCACCGCACAAGTTTCTTCTGAGCAGCGCCGTGGCGACGAGCCAAGCCTCCACCTTTGCCTCTGAGTGCGCGCGCTAATTAGAAGGCAGCGAGTGCGCGCGCAGGGAAAAGCCAACCCTTTACAAAATGGAAGGAAAAGAAGAAGAGGCAACACCATAAAGTAGCTTAACTTACACATAACACCGGCCAAAGCAGACGATTACACCTCAGGATTGCATTTGCTAATTAGCAAGTACAAATAAGCTGTAACTTTGCTTTTTAAATTTGTTTATTAAAATAAAAATTAAAAAAAAATCTCATTTTAGGAGTAGACGGGCGAAAGAGAGGGGGGGGGGGAGCTTGTTTAGGATGTGAAGGGGTTAATGAGAATGCCCACCTGTTATTGACCAATTACTGGCACTGGCATAATCTCATCTTGTTATTGCTTTAGAGAACAAACAAGCGAGTCTTAGCTTACAAGTAATATCAGTGGGAGCTTTACTTTCATATAAAAAGCCGTTACTTTCTCAAGGGTTTGGCAGATATAAGGGATATACAGTCTGTTACTGTGTGTCCATTTGTGCGTGCATGTTCGGTCTTTTAATTAGTGGCAGAGACACATTAGTCACGATGGAGACTTCCTGCAAACCCACACAGACACTAACCAGTTCTAACCCAGCACTTTGATCTTAGATCATTCTTGTATTCATGCAACAAACACATCCACACACAACAAGCCCTCTTTTCTGGTGTTGGGTGGACACCAGTTAAGCTACAGTCTGTGAATTATCCTGCATAAAAGTGTTATTGAGTTTTGTTAAATTAAAGAATACAAATAACAGTAACTTACCAATGCCAGTTTAAATATATACTTATAAATAATAAAAATATTTGCCTAATGATTGAATTCCTTAAGCGTGAGTTACAAGAAGATAAGCAGACACACGCTGGAGATTTATGTGTTTATCCTTTGATAACCAATAACTTTCGCACATGCTATGGTTTAACTGGCTTCTTTTAGAGGTTGAGATCGATCAACCTAATGACAGTCATATAGGGTAAATTAAAAGTTACATACCCATAACTTCCTTTTCTACAAAATTAAGAAACTAAGTGACTCATAAATATTTTAATGTCAGATTCCACATCTTTTTCACATTAGAGTAAAGGGATTAAAATGAAAAAAGCCAGTGAAGCAGCCATGCGAGAGTAATTACACACATAGAAATTCAGATTTTAATGAAAGTGTAGAACTGCTACAGCACAAGCCTCTCTCTTGGAAATACCAAAACATTTTTTTTTTTACCAAGTAGTCTGTATGATCAACACAATGACCTTGAAGAACATTTTATAGATAATGCATTATCAGTGATAAAGCTCCAGTTTAATCTATACTTTTTGATTCAGCAGTTAAATAAAAGCTTAATTAGACAAGGATGACACTGAAATATGTGTGCATATCATTTTAAGATAAATTAAGCTACAAGTGAAAACAACTTTTTCCATTTGTTTTGACATTTACCAAAACACACATTGTAAACGCACATTGTAAAAAGCACTACTGTAATATAAAAATGCTCAAGAAAGAAATGAGCAAGCATAAAAATGTAAGTAACAAGTACAAAAGCTGATTATTCAAATAACCTGCTGCAGCTTTTCACAAACACATAAATATGCAACACTATTTTAACGTATGTAAACAGTAGATTATCTTTTTGGTTTTAAAAAAAGAGGCATGATGTAATGCCTCTGCATGGGTTTGAAATTGCCTGGCCTCAGCCCAATCACTGTGTCACTGCAGGTGTTTCTATTGTCTGTCAGAGGCAGAACTCTTGCTGTGAAATCACTGATTGGGAGTGTTTAGAAAAGCCACATAACTGTGTAAGAGCGATTTGGTGTTCCATTTGATTCAGAGTGAAACTACGATTTCAAAGTAAAGGACACAACTCGCTAATAGTGAGTTTAACAGTATATTAAATGCTTATGTAAACTCCAGTGTGTAGATTTAAGATTATCTCCTCACATGTTCAAGATAAACAGATAAAGACAAAGATGAAAGGCAGACAGACAGCAATACAGAAGTTTGATCGAATTACATCTTGCAACAGAACAAAGGCCAAGTATGATCATATTAAACACCAATCCAGTTCCTCCCAGCAGCCCAAACACTCTCCTTTCATTTTGCATAGTTGCAAAATTACAACTCCTTCCTTCATAAAATCTGACAGAAAAAATGTTTCCCATTACATTGTGCAAGCGACCAAACTGGAAATAAACCTATCCAAACACGCCTTAGCTAAGATGCAATGTTACAACAGCCCAATTTTAACAAGCTCCACTTTTAACAAATACTACTTCTAGCAGCCAAGTCAGTCCAGTTTGTTGGACAAGCTGTCTGGAAGTCTCCATTCTCTTGTGACAGGGGATGACAGATGTGCCAGTTTGATGATGCCAGGCATCTCTTACTGTGTTTGAGTTATAGAATAAATGTTCTCAGTCTGGGCTCCACATCTGACAGCTGTTCACCTCTACAAACCCGTGACATCTGGAGAGAAAGTCCACTGGAAAGAGTTGATAGTTTCCGAAACCTTGAGCTGCTTCTAGCATTGGCTGAAGAAGGTAAATTGCAACCCTGCTGCCCCATCAGGTCAATATTTCCTCCCTCTTCGGATAATTAGAAGGTAGCAGACCACATTAATTTCTGCCACTCAGAATGTTTGAATACATTTTTAAGGATCTCCGTTTTCTGTCTGTACATTTTAAAATCATAAGCTCTCATTTATTGGCATGTTTTACTTTGGGTATACTTACAAATAGCAAAACCATAGATTAAATAAATATAAATTAGAAGAGCACACAAACTAAAATATAGAAAGGTAATCCATACTGTTTAGACATGCACATTCACAAGATTTGATCCTGAGTCAGCAAAAACACATGTCCACATTTAACATATATGTTCATACACAATGGTAGAACATCACATACATATATTCAGGTGAACAATATACATTCACCCATCCATCATCTTTTATGCATTTTAATGCATAGAGGCATTTTTGGCACCCGGAAAAAGGCTTTGGCCAGAGCAAGAGGTCAGTTATCAGTACTGTATTAAAATATTCATAAATAAAAAAAAATCATGACAATCAATAAAATACACCGATTTATGTCAAATTCATAACACAGCCACTGGTTTCACTGACTGCGGATCAACAGTGTCTTTATCTTTGTAGACATCTCTACACTGCATCTTTGAGTAAAGAAATACTTGCATTTACTGAACGAGCTAGCTATTAAGAACGTTTGACAGCAAAAGAGCAGCAATTCTTCTTATTTTTGAAAGTACCGACATCTCTACTAGAGAGCATGATTTACATCCTACAGTTGCAAATGTTTCTAAGCCTGTAAAGGAACTTTAAGGTTAGAGATTTCTCAATTAATTTTCCAAGTTGGCACTGGACATCTCAATATTTATGCAAAAGAATGCTGTTTCCCCAACATTTGCAGTGCTTTTTGATGCCTGAGCATAACCAGCTAAATGCTAATCTGCCAGAAGATTATACAAATTAAATATGTCATCAATTTGCTTTGCAGAGACAGTTTGTCTGAACATTTTGCATTGGAAGGCAGTTTGAAGATATATTCAATATAAACTTGTCATGTTGATTACAAACATAACCTATACATGTTTGCTAATGCAAATTAGCTGCATGTAAATGTATTTGTTATAAGACAGTCAAAATCAAAATCACACAGAAGAGTAAACGATGACAAACATCAATCATTCAGTGGGTTTCAGTGTCTTTTCCCATCCCTGTGTACTGAATAGTCACCTCTTTTTTCACACCCTGTCATCTGCTCATTCCCTCACTGTCAAACACGCTCACTCTCAGCTGTTTGGGTTTTTTTTTTTTGTCTTAGTTAACTTTTTATGTCCACTCTGAGGGTATAAGACTTGGTCACATTTGGTTAGAATCTAGACTTCTCAGATTTGCTGAAGGTGCTTTGGGTTGAGTGGAGTGAAAAGTGATTAAAACATGAAAGACACAATAAATTACTTTAAGATAATGTAAGAAGCACAAAGTTCAAAGTCATTTTTGGAGGTCCTTTATTTTTGGTTTCAACATTCTGTTCTATGTGGTAGGAAATTGGATCTATGGGTTAAAGAGGGAAGAAATTGCCTATAAAAGTCATCAGCCCTAATCAGACCTCACTGTTCGAGCCGTCTATGTGATTGATTGGGGCTAAAAGTGGTACAATCGTGCTGTCTGTCACAGGTAAACAAGGCCAGACTGCCAGAGGCTTCCTGTCTTTGTGAATTCACTGGGCAAAATTGACACTGTTAATGTGTCAGAGGAGGAAGTGCACAAAAGCCAACTGCTTACACCCTCCATTGACCTCGTGATAGTTTTATTGGTCACTGAGTCAATCACCCACCATTCCATCAATGGAAGCAGCACAGCAAGGACACATCTTTTTCTTTATCTCACTTGCTCTCCTCCAACCAGCGAGATCTTTCACAGTTGAGTTTGTTAATAGCTGGCAGATAATGGAGTCAATGCATACTCTATGCATATTTTATTGGTACAGAGCAGCTGGATAGGCACTGAAATGTTTAAAACTTTTATAAAGTCTGCTTGATGAAGTTTGATTAATGACTTGTGACAGAGCATTTAATGAGATATTCTTCCAACTAGCCTTTATTAAAGATATCAGATGCTGTGTAGTTGCATGCAGCTGTCTAAACCACACGCATGGACACAAACAGGCAAAACAATGCAAATTAATTCAAATAAATGCTCTAAGAATAATTTCTTCTCCTAGTCTGTTTCTTCTGTTATTGCACACTGTGAATATACGCTTATTGTTAACCAAGACATTCTGAATTTTCAGTTTTATATACTGTGTGTACTCATGGCTATTTATCATTTAAAAGCAATCATATTCATGGCTCCCAACAAGCCAAACTCCCTGCATAGAGTGTAATGCCAGAATGCAGGCTATATGGAACTAGCTGACATATACATTTATTTACAACCTTGT